CCATCCATCCATCCATCCATCCATCCATCCATCATCTTAGTCAATAGAAAGTCTAAAGTTAAGCCAGCCCTTTTAATCTGTCCATAATGTATTTTCAGCCCCCTCATCCCCGTTCTCTCATATGTAAGTAATTCAAATCTCATGTTTTCTGAGGTCAGAGAAAAACTCATAGTGACCCAGCTCTTTAGAAACAAAGCCACAGAGGTTTCCTCCGGGAATGTCATGGAAAATCTCCCACCATTTCTTTTCCAGAGCAGAGTGGGAATAAACCACTGATGGGCTGAGGGAACTCAGGCTTTCATGGATCTACAGAAGAACTAGCATGAGACTGAGGTCATCTAATCATTTTTAATAGGATGGGATCTCTGGGATCATAGAAACCTCGATCGTGTATCAGTCAGCGGGTTAACCAGAAAAAAAGGACTACATTATTTTTTTCTAAAATGATTAAATGTTTTTTTTGTTTACTGGGATCTTTCTCATGTTTGTCTGGCTTTCTGACGGCAGGCTGTCTTCAGGCTGGGAGCTTCAATGATCCTCGATGCTGAATAGTTTTCATGCTAAAGCTAATCCAAAACAAGCAGAATGTGGTGAAGCCACCCTGGCGTCCCACAAAACCACAGAAAGAAAGGAGCCTCTGGAAAAATCATGAGTCAGACCACAAGACAGACCCCCCAAACGCCGAGTCCCAGTTCACAGCAACATTAGAGACTCCTTTCAATGATTTGTTTTACACAAACACAACGGAGCAGTACAGGGCAGTCCAGGCTGACTGATTGGAACCAGATGAGATGTGGGAATGTTCTGATCTTTCCCCACAGCAGACGAGCCATTGTGTCCTGATGCTAAAGCCTTCAGAAACCCAAATGGAAATGGCCAAACAGCACTGCCTCTCAGCACATGTCGATATGCTGAATGTGGAAAACTGCAGCTAAAGTACTAAAAGTTGAGTGTGAGGAGCTTTGATCCAGGTGGAGAGTCGAGCACTTAGCATCAGTAACACGTTTCTGAACTCCAAGAAGTCCTGGTCCAAAAGGGTTTGGTTCTATAACAATCTGAAATATTTAAATATCTCTTTTGTTTGTTTGTTTTTGCGGCACTAGTGGCCGCAAAAACAAAACAGGAGAACATTAATAAGAGAAGACCATGACCATGGAGGCTGTGGAGAAGCTGAAGCTGGTCGGATCTGTCAACATCACATTATCAGTTTCGTATTAATCCGAATACTGAAAATACCAAATATGTAAAGTTAAGCATCTGCTTATTATAAATCGATAATAAAATAATCTAAAATGAGTTTTTAAAATCATTTAATCTATGCTGACATTTGTCCATCCTCCCATTGGCATCAAAGCAATGAAGACCTTTATAGAGGAAGAAATGTTCTTTATTTTATTATTATTAGCACTAATCTAAGCTCCCTTTATGGTTCAGTCAGACTCAGCCAGAGCTCCGACTGTGTCTAAATAATCATGGTACTGCAGCGGGATGAGAGGTGTTGGTCACCTTAAGGTGGGGGGGTCTCTGCTCCCACTATGATGACCCTAACAGCATCAATAATGTTTTTAATTTTATTCTGCTTCTTTCAACTTGTTTCAACTCTAAAACAATAAAGATAATTTTTTTCATTGCTGTATATTTTTGCAACTGAAACATGATTAAAAACATCTGGCCAGAATATTTCCTACTTTGCATTAACTGAGGTGCAGGAAGTCTTCATAACTTTTCCTTTCTCGCCCTCAGAATGAGAGAAAAACCTCTGATCAGAAACAAGCTGCTAGAACAGCAGGATGTATTTTGCCTTCAGTCCCTGAGAGATCGTTGCTCCTCTGGTCTCAACTTTAGAGCTAAAATGTGTAGAAAGGTTTTTAGGAACAATCCATTAAAGGCTGAATAAAAAACAGAACATTTTGCATCAATCAGACGTTTTTTTTTCCTTCAGTGGCTCCAGAGCAGCTCATTCATCCTAATGCATCACGCTGGTGTTTGGCAGAGGGAACGTTGGCAGTTTCAGCCTGTGTGGTTCCACATGTGTGCATGTTTAAATGCTGTGATTGCTGCCACACTGAATATTTGGTCATTTTGTTCATGCAGCTGAGTTTGATCCAGCCTTCAAAGCTTGTTCCCATCTGACGTGGTGTTTTAGGCATGCTGTGATGCTGTTATCTTTCTGTGCTCCTAAACTTCTAAACTTATGTTTTTGTCTGTTCAAAGCTGCAGGTCTGTCATCTTGGCCTCCTCCCTCATTTCTCCTCTGTATTGCTGCGTTGTGCAGGGGGCCTCTAACCTGACCCTGATGCTGAATGTCTGCATTCAGGACCGATCCAGTGAGGGAAATGTTCTCAGCCCTTTGTTGAAATGTTAGACCATGCTTTCCTACATATGTTAAAATGGCTGTTGAGCAAAAACGTCAACAATCACCAGCTGAACGTAATCACATGTTTCACCTGCAGAGGTCATTGTCTGACTTTTAGCTACTGTAAAAACATTTTGTTGAGGAAAAGTTGGGAGGAAATATCTAAACTCTAAAGACATTAGTGAATCTATACGTTAAAATGCACAAAATAAAAGCTTTTATTCTGCTATAAGGATTACGTACCTGTTCCTCCCCTCTGGATTCCCTCCCACAGTGGTTTCTCTGCTCTTTGGAGGCTTAGTTTTATTATTTTGAGGGTTTTAAAGCTCCAATAAATAAAAACAAATGTTCATTGATAAGCAGCCGGCCCTGGTCTGTGTCTCTGCCCCCTGCTTCCCAGGTTCCCTGAGGCTTTTCAGGACAGAGATGCCCCTCT